TAAAATTAGTAAGTAAGCGGTAGTCCCCGTGGGTAGTCCAAAAGGCCAATTTTGCTTAGCTTGCCGATTTTAGCAGTTTTAAAATGTGTTTGCCGTCGGAGAACCGTTCTGCATTCCAATGCCATCAGAAAACCCCTGCTAGATCGATGGATGGTGCGTAGAAAATCAAATGTGTACAGGTAATTCAACCTACTTAAAAATTTAAGTAGGTATCTATAATACATAAGGACCCAAAAAAGACCGCTAGAGACAACCTCACCAATATTTGTTTAGTAATTCTACCGCGATAACTCTGGGCCCTCGTTTCCTTATGCCAGAATCCTTCTTCTTTAGGACAGTGTGGTTTCCAGTTTGATCTGCCAATGGCCGACACTTTTGACACTGGATCTTTCCTTTACTCCCATAACGGACGTCGCACTAAACCAGATTGCATTGTAAGTTGCAGACTCCTTCACGAAATAACATTTTAAGTGGCTATTTGCTATATTCTACTTTAATTCAGTTATCCGTGGTTGCATCAGCTGCAAAATATGATAACGGCGTGCAAAGGACCACAAAACTAACGGTGACAGCAACACGGAAGTCTTTCTACATACGCCGTACGGCAAGGGTAGGGTTTCTCACTCCTATTGAAGAAAGTGTGAATCGATAACCCAAAACCAAAGACGACCTTACACACCTAGCTTGTAGACTTTAAGGATATGGTTGGCTACCTCTACAAGAAAGAAGTCGTCTACAAGATCCCATGCGAAGCTTGTGTTGCCGTTTATTTTGGAAAAGTCCGCCTGCACGTGCATTCATGAACATCAGCTGGCAGCGAAGAGGCGTGACCATTTGTCCCAAGTAGCGATGCACGGCCTTCATACAGGATGCACCTTCGCATGGGACAAAACTCGCATATTCAGAGTTTGCCCCTTCAAAAAAGGCCGAGAGTTTCTTGGGGCTATGCACTCTGATGATGCATGCATCAAACTCCATATTGAATTAGATGCCGTGTAAAAAACTCTTAAGGAAGAATAGAAGAGACGAGAGCCGATCGATATAGCCTGACTAAGCGGCAACTGCTACTTTGTCTTCATACAAAATGCCTATTTTTCCAGCACGTTTAAAATGTCGGTTGTTTTTGCACACTATCTCAACTCTGATTTCGAAACTTCACCGAATAAAGGTAACTTATGCCCCAATTGACGTACTTCCTTTAAATTACATTGCTTGGAATGCCTGCCTTCCAATTCATACGCAAGAATGTAACCCTAACCCCAATCCCTATCCATAAACCCAAACCCTTACTAGAACATTAGCCCCAACCCACAAGCCTATATCTTAACCCCACCCCAATTCCTAACCCTAACCCCAATATATAATCATAACCATATCCTCATTCTCCAAACCTAAACATAATAAGCGAGCCCCAATAAATGAATCTAAGTGTAACCCCAAAACCCCAACTGCAAACCTGAACATAAAACCCTAAATTACAGTGAATAAAAAGTAATTACAAGGGTTAGTTCCATGCGTATTAATAAGAGAAACGTCGTTTTTCGACTGCAATGAAAAAAACACATGCCTTGATTTCATTCTGCATTCCAATAATCGTGATATGACGGTAATCTTAAGGAGAATCTCATACTGCTGTTTAGGATCTTATGCTTTGTTTTTAATTTTCTAATGTCATATGTAAATATAAGCACTATGAGAGATCACCCTAACTGCATATTAACCAAGAGCATTAACCATAAACTGTGCCGTTGTTAGATTTTGCTGGATTCGATCACACTCCTAATATTAATAATATAACTGAGTTCCCAACAAACTTGACCTTCTGAATCTATTCTTTTTAATTTTCGGGAGCCCTGTTCTGATTAAAAATTTGCACAGGTGAAATAAAACACATTTTATATGTCCATTTTAGACACGCCCACAACCTAAGCAACCTGTCATTGG